TTCTTAAACTGTCATTTTCTCTTCTCTCAGGCAGAGGACAGTGAACTTGGGAAAGAATGGAAGGGTTTTATTCTCACTGTAACAAAGGTAGGGAAGAACATTGTATCTCACTCTATGTCCAAAGTGTCAGTGAGGGGTTTTTGTCTTTGTGCCTGCCACCAGTTGGCTTCCCAAGCCATGAAATCTTGCTGCTAAGGTGTTTGCACACACTAAACTGTTGGGTTGGTTATAACCACACCTAGGGTCTTTTTCTGAGGAGATCAAAATTCAAGATGATTTTATCCCACCTCATCTGTCATGGTATCTAATAGACATGTCCCAACCCACATCCCACCCAGGAAGAGTTTTAGCAAGTGTCTATTCCCTGGCAGAAAAAGTTTGTATTTCCCATAAATCTTCATGTGGCGCTTTTGAAGTGACTCAACTTACCTGCTGTTTCCATATTATTCTCCCTCAGGGCTGCTTTTATTGGTCCGACGGACAAAACTCACAGCATTTTGCCAGCCAAGCATTTTAAAATGAAAGGAACTAACATAAGTCATGCTAGTGCTAGAATTGCTTATTTGCTTCAGTCTCCTTAAATAGCTACATGTTTTTTCTCCCCTTTCCTAATGCCTAGGGAGTGGAAAATCTCATTTACGTGTTAAAAAAATACCATCACTAATATAATTACTGTGGAATAACTATTCCAAAATAGTTTCATATAAACTCGTTCTTACACATCATCTTCTTCGCTAAATGCTCTTTGAAAACAGCAAAACTCTCATTGATAATTATCAGTGGGAAACAAGGTTTCTAGGTGCATGGCAGCTGCACTTGGAAAGTAGTTGTGATTGACATAGAAACAATAGATCACGATGTTTGTCCACTCTTTCATTTCCTGTTTAACCTTGGTGTTAATTTTCAGATGTCAGTGCCCCTGGAGGAGTCATTATTGCCTAGCCAACTTACAAGAATGCATGAAGTGCTAGAGAAAGAAAAGAAGAGAAGGATGGTGCTTAAGGACTGTTCAAGCACATCCTTGGATGAAGAAGGCTCTCCTAACAGGAACTATAGCAGTATATTGACTGCTATGCCAGCGTAAGCTCTGACTGAACTATACCAACCCCAAACTGCCTGGAAAGCCTTCCCTTCTTCTTTCAAAGGACTATTTTCCTACAGAGGTTTAGCATTCAACTGTTGTGCAAGGGTTGCTCACAATGAAGCAAATGTCCCTTTAAATCTGATTCTACAGAGATTTCCTAAGGGAAGGATTATTGTTGAAGCTTTTCTACAATGCATTCTTGTTTTGAAAACATTGAGAGTGTAGCATATTTCTGCTCTTCTAGAAGAAAAGCATCCCTGAGCCAAAGGTGCCATTTTCTCTTTGAGAAGGCCACTGCTATCTTTAATTATATTTCTATAATAGCCTTGTTCAGTGAGAGCCATTACAGATGTCCTGCAAATCCTCCCTGCACAAGCCTAGGACTGACAGGTTGCATTAGCCTGGTAGGCTGCACCACTCTGTACAGTGCCTTCCTAGCACTTATTTGTGCTCTTTCTCTCTTCTGCATAGGTGTTTCCACGCAGTATCTCGGCAGGAAGCAATAGAGATGTTAGGAAAGAATCCTTCCTATGGGAATTTGATCCTGCGGCCTGGCAGCAACAGTAAAAACTTCGCAGTCACCACTCGACAAGTGCTGGAGTAGGTAGATTGCACACGATATTATTCCAGGCTTAACTAGCACACGCTGTATTGAGAGCTGAAAGGGTAATATGCAGAGAGGATGTGTGAAGCATATCCCCTGCCCTCTGCCTTTGAGGAGGGCAATTTGAAGCAGCAGGGATGGGCCTGAGACTCATTTGTTAGTCCTCTCCCCTTTTAAAGCTCATTCAACTAATCAAGAAGGCAAGAAAAGAACCAAAAGAAAAATAAAAATAATCAAAAATTGATTTCCTGGGCTGAGTGGCCTTTCCCTGTGTGCTTTCCAGCCATAAAAGCTTCCTGAGTTTAAGGATACATCACCAAGAACAGGTTTAAGAGTGAAACCAACCATATTCCTTTCTAAAATGAACAGCAACATTTTTCTTCTCAAATGGATATGTTTTCATACAGTAACTTAGTCTAAAACACACAGACATCAGCACATTGTAGCTTTTGCAGAGCTTCAAAACAAGTGTCTGAGAGACAGGAAAAA